AGAAGAGAAAGTAAATATGTGATTTAAATGAAAGAAAATAAATATGCAGTTTAAAGCTACTCAGCCTGTGGTTCTTTGTTATATAAGCCTTAGAGAAACTAATATATCAAAGAATCACTTTTCCAAATGACTAATGCATATTATAAAGTCATGAATGGGTAATAGGATCCTTTAAAAGTGAAAGATGAGCCAATGGATTTTAATTTAACAGAACACAAAATGTTCATTAATGGGGTTTCCACATTGCAATTAACCTTTAAGAAATTTTCACTTGTCAAGTTCTGGTATCATTTCAAAGAAGAATATTCACAACAGTCTGGAAAGCTATTAAATTATTTCTTCCAACTTTATATTTACAAAAGGTTGGGTTTTATTATCCTTTTTTGTAATTTCAACCAAAACATTATAAGAGATTAAAGAACATATCTAGCTATCTTCTATTAAACCAGGCATTAGAGATTAACCCCACAAGTACCAGGTACTAGTGATGGAACCCAGGGCCTCACATAGGCTAGACAGGCACTCAACCACAGAGCTGCTCCCCAGTCCTCCCCAGTCCTGGGCACACTTTGCAAGAGGTAAAACAATGCCATTCTTTCCATAAGTTTATTTTTATTTTGGAAAATATGTTTTTTATTTAAACCTTATTAATGTTAGGGGATTTGCTTGTTGTGTTTGTTTATTGAAGGGCTTCCTGGGGCCCCATGCAGGCTAGGCAAGAACTTTCACTGAGTTATATCCCCAGCCCTACTGTTATTATTTTTTTTAAATATCTTTATTTTATTTTTATGTGGTGCTGAGATTCAAACCCAGGGCCTCACACGTGCTAAGCAAGCAGTCTACTACTAAGCCATATCCCCAGCCCCCTACTGTTATTTTTAATTGAATTAAATGTTTTTAAATTCTTCTGATTTAGTTTCTAATATGGTAAACACTGATCATTATAACCTACACTTTTAAAAAGCTCTTAGGGGGCCTCAATAGTAAAAAGGGAGTTTGGAAATAAAAAGCTAGGGAACTGCTGCCTAAAAGAAGAAATGTTCCTCAAAGCCTCTTATTTTGTGAATAACACTGGAGAATACTTAGCTTTGTTTTACTTTTTTAAATGTTTGTAATACAGGCTAACAACAAAGGTGCCAAAAATATATGTGGGAGAAAAGACAGCCTTTGTAACAAATGATGCTAGGAAAATTGAACATCCATATGTAAAAGAATGAAATTAGATCCCTATCTCTCCCTCCATATAAAACTCAAAATAGAGGCCTGGGGTTGTAGTCACTGGTAGATTGCTTACCTAGCACATATGAGGCACTGGATTCAATCCTCAGTACCACAAAAAAAAAAAAAATAATAATAATAATAAAGGTACTGTGTCCATCTACAGCCAAAATAAAAAAAAAATCAAAATGGATCAAAGATTTAGGAATTAGACCAGAAATCTTACAAATGCTAGAAGAAATCATAGGATCAACACTCCATCATTTGGTGTTGGCACTAACTTCCTCAACAAGACTCCTAAAACTCAAGAAATAAAACCAAGAATCAATAAATGGGATGCCATCAAATTAAAAAGCTCTGTACAGCAAACGAAATGATTAAGAGTGAGAGGAGAGGGCTGGGGTCGTGGCTCAGTGGCACAGCGCTTACCACGCACATATGAGGCACTGGGTTCGATCCTCAGCACCATGTAAAAATAAATAAACAAAATAAAGATTAAAAACAAAAAAAAGAATGAGAGGAGAGCCTACAGAATGGGAGAAAAACTTTGCCTGCTTCTCCTCTAATAGGGGATTAATATCCACAATATGTAAAGATCTCAACACTAAAAAAAAGAAAACCAATTAATAAGTGTGCAAATGAATTAAACAGATACTTCTCAAAAGAAGAAATACAAATGGCCAACAAATATATGAAAAAATGTCCAACATCTTTAGCAATCAGGGAAATGCAAATCAAAATTATAATAAGATTTCATCTCACTCCAGGCAGAATGGTAATGATCAAGAATACAAACAAAAATAAAATGGAACCCAGGGCTTTCCACATGTTAAACAAGTACTCTACCACTGAGCTATATCCCCAGTCCTTTATTTTATTTTGAGATAGTGCCTCACTAAGTTGCACAAGTTAGCCTAGAACTTGCAATCCTCCTATCTCAATCTCCTAAATAGCTGGGATTAGAAGCATACACTACACTGTGCCTGGCCTATTCTCTTTCATAAGGAAATCTAGCAGGATAAATACTTCTGATATCATTCTAAAACCCCTTTCAAATCTCAGCAAAAAACCAAAATATATATTGATAACCTCCTAAAATTCTATATAGTCCATCTATTACAAGATACTCTAAAATATATTTATGAATTCTGCCATACCATCACAACTAATCAATGCTATACAGGCTAAATATCCATTATCCAAAATAGTTGGGACCAGAGTGCTTTAAATTTCTGATTATTTCAGATTTTGGAATATTTTCAAAATCATAATGAAAAATCTTGGAGGTGAGACTCAATTCTAAACAAAAAAATTCAAGTATGTTTTAAACATACCTTATACAAAGCCTGGAAGTAATTTTAATCAACATTTGAAATAATTTTGTGGATGAAATAGTTTTATTGTGTGGAATTTTTTACTTGTGGCATCATTTCTGACCTCACAAGAGTTTCAGATTTTGGAGCATTTGGATTTCAGATTTTTGGATGAGGGATGCTCAACTGGTGCCCTTGTACAATTAGATCCTGTGATAGAATTAGGAGATATCGATGGATATTATAACAAAAGCCCAGTGAAAATCACTACTATTTACTCCAAGCATATTCCTTAAAAAAAAAAAAAAAAAAAAAAAAAAAAAAAAAAAATCACTGTTTAATGCATTAGGCAGTAACCACTTTAAAATGTCACCAGAAAAAGAGAAAGAAGGTCGCTCAGAAATAGGGTGTCTGCTGAGCTACTGGTTAGTATTTTTTCTTATAAACATTATGAATCATTGAACCAAACAGCTTCTCCTATTCATTTGTTGCTATAAAACTTAAGAGACAAATTTGTAGTCTCTTCTTAGAAAGTATATTGGTATCATTTTTTTATTTTTATTTTTTGTGATAATGGGGATTTGAACCCAAGTGAATTCCACTGTTAAGCTACATCCCCAGCCCTTTGTATTTTTTATTTTGAGTAAGAGTCTCATTAAATTGCTGAGGTTAACCTTGAACTTGTGATCTTTCTGAATCACCCTCCCAAGTCACTGGTATTATAGACATTGCCACCATGCCTGGCTTAATAACATTTTTAAATCAGTCTCATCTCTACATTTTATGTCATCTCAAGTTGTTTTCCCTTTACTCCATCATTGTCAAATACACTAAAAATGGAATTTTGTAAAATCTTTATAAACTGGTTTATATCCTTTTTTAAAATAAAATAGAATATTAGTATATTTATCACTATAACTTTACCTTGTGGTTTAAACCATAGAGATCTAAATTTATATTAAGAAGTTAATACAAATTCACTTCTTAGAACTCAAGTTTCATGATAATGGTACCATGGTTCCGTGTCTGTAGGACCAAAGGCCTGATCCCAGACTGTGATGTGTTTTCATCCTAAGAGGTGTCTTGTTAAGACTAGCCAGCTTTTGGAATAGTCACTCTCTATCAACTTTGCCAGGTCTTTTCTTTTGAAATACTTCTCCCAGAGACAGTATTTATGAATATCCCACCCAGAAGGGATATGATTTAAATAAAATCATAAACATTTTGATAAAACTAAATCTAATAATAGTTATTTGAATGCAAATGCTAGAAGCTCAGAAAATAAGTTTTAGCATAAATGGTAGAGTCACAAGACCTTAGGCAGAACAATCTACCTCTGAGTCTTTATACTCTGTGGTTTCTGAGTTCTGAAGCTCAGGAAGTATTACACAGCTTGAGCAGCACTAATCTAAAAATCCAAAATCTAAGATATTCCCAAATGTGAAACTTTTTCAGCACTGACATGACACCAGAAGTGGAAAATTCTATACCTAGCTTCATGTGCCAGACACACTAAAAATAGTGTATACCACCTCACAGCTATGTATATAAATTAATTTCATGTGTCAACTTTGATCCCATGCCCAAAACATTTCATATGTATATACAACTATCACAAAATATGAAAAATCTGCAGTATATTTACACAATGGGATATCACATGGCAAAGAAAATAAATTACCACTATATGCAAACAACATAGATGATCTCAAAACACAAGTAAAAGAAATCAGACACAAAAGAATACATATAATTCTGTTTATACAAAGTTGAATATTATCCCTTTTGTTTTCTGCACTATATATAACACCTAGCTATACCAAGCATACAATATATATTGAACAAATGGATAAGGTGACTTATAAGAGACCCTTGGGGTCAGGGACTCTGCAACCTCACCAACAACTCTTTGTTTCTTTTCAGTGGGATTGAACCCAGTGCCTTATGCATGATTGGCCAGTGCTCTACCCCTGAGCTACACTTCTTAACCCCTTATTTATGTCAAATTTAAATACCTACAAAGCTAATCTAAACAGAAATCAAAATAATAGTTACCTTAGAAATTTAAAAGGGACCAAAAGAGGATCCTGGGAGTATCGATAATATTTTTTTTTCTTGATTGAGAGATAGTTACATGAATTGTATTCACTTTACAGATATACCTATGACTTAATGATGTATACCTTTCTTTGCATTTACATTATATTTAAATTTAAAAATTTACCCAAACATGGGGTTTTGTTTTAGGGTAAAGAAAAATAGTTTGGGACTAGATAGTATTGGTAGTTGTACAACACAGTAAATGTACTGAATGCCACTGAAATGTATACTTTGAAATGGTTGTTTACGTTACTTGTATTCACCTCAATTTTCAAAAGTTATCCAAAAAGTCAGTCTCAATAAAACAATGAATATATTTATTGGTAGATACTCATGAACATAAATACTGAGTATTAATGCTGAACTTACCAACTGCTGTGTCACCATCTAACAAATTGTCATCTTCAGAAGTTTGAAAGTCCATAATAACACCTGCTCCATCTAAGAGCTCCTCATCACTACTTGCACTTGTTATACTGTTGTAGCTGTTTCTATAATAGCCTCTATGGAACAGCTGCTCAGACTCCATTTAGCTGTCTGATTATCTAGGAAAAAAAAGGGGGGATGAAATAGTTTTTCCATTTTCCCAACATATAATACAAATACCTAGTTTAACATCACACACACACACACACAAAAAAAAAATTATACTTGTATTAAAAATATTAAGTTTATTCACTATAACAATGTTTTTATTGTTATGTTCCAGAAATAACATTGCTGATACATAATTTAATTTTTAAAACATATTTGTATTCTTGCTCAACATCATAATAAGATTTCAACACAATTGTACTGACATTAGTAATAAACTTGAAAAGTACATATGTGGCATTCAAAAGACAATCATAAAAGCAGTCAAACCAGTAAGGTTTGTAAAACATGACTGGTTAGATAAGGTCATAGTAAGCGTACAAAAGATGAAAGATAACAAATGAAAGTAAATATACTCCAATTCTAGCACTAAATTCTAGTACTGAATTCTAATCCTAAAGACCCAAGTTTGGTCTGGGGTTGTGGCTCAGTGGTAAAGAACTTGCCTAGCATGGGTTCAATCTCCAACACCACTTAAAAAAACTAAATAAACAAAATAAAGATATTATGTCCACCTACAACTAAAAATATTTTTTTAAAAAAACAGACAAGTGGGCTGGGGATGTGGCTCAAGGGGTAGCGCGCTCACCTGCCATGTGCGGGGCGCTGGGTTCGATCCTCAGCATCACATAAAAGTAAAATAAAGATGTTGTGTCCACCGAAAACTAAAAAATAAATATTAAAAAATTCTCTCTCTCTCTTAAAAAAAAAAAAAAAAGACAAGTTTTTTTTTAAGGCAATCTCATTTTCAGTAAGTTTTCCTTCTGTTCATGGAAAAATAATTAACCTCAAAGAGTTTTAATAATAAAGCATTTATATTTCAAAATATAGCTAGCTCTCTTTAGGAAAATATCTCTAATAACATCCCTTTTTTTTAAGCCAAAGTCATATATATAAAACCAAAAATATATATATATATTAATTATAGATGGACACAATACCTTTCTTTCTTTCTTTCTTTCTTTTTAATTTTTATGTGGTGCCAGGAATCAAACCCAGTGCCTCCACATGCTAGGCAAGTGCTCTACCACTGAGCCAAAACCCCGGCCCCAATATCTATCTTTTAATGAGATTTGATATATAAATCCCCTACCTTATAGATCTCTTTAAAGAAAGTAACATATTGAGAGCTCCTTGAGATCTTTAGAGTATGACTCTAGTCACAGCATTAAAAAATGAATTTCCTAACACCTTTGAGTCATAAAGACTCTAGACCCCTCTTTGTAACAGGAGCATCCCACTTAGATCCAAATAAACTAATGACTGGCACAATATATGGGCAATAAATGTCAAACTGTTTATTCACTCAGTCAATGAAGTCCAAAAGAGAAATGTATTCAGTTTTCAATAAACAAATATCTGCAACTGTATTAAACTGGTCTTGGAGGAGTAACCAAAAATTAGCACATAAATTAAAAGAAAAACTTAAATATTTGCTGCTTTGCAGCTTTATGAAATGTCTTTAGCTTCTTCTACCAAAGATGGCCTGTTATACTGAGATTGTTAGATTGTGTTAATTAAGGCAAGTTTTATAGTTAAATATTAAAATAGGAAAATAACTGTTCATGCTAAGAATTTTGTAGTTCCTTCAAGACAACCAAATTAAACATTATGGCTTCTGCATAAATAACCAAAAGGCTTTAAAAAAAACATTAATATTTCAAGAATCATTTTAATTTTGATGTATCAAAGCAAATATGCTAAGATTTTGCAAATAATACAGAAATTCTATTCTTCACTTCTTTACGTGACAGAAGAAAGGGGCTTTTGTAATAACATACTTCAGTGAATACTAGAGGCTCCACAACATCAGGAAATCTTTTAAATTAAACAAACTTTTCTTTGTAGCAGGGCTTCAATCAGAAAGTTCCAACATACTCCTCCTATATCATCCCTAAAAGTCCCTTAAAAACTACTAAGTAATAATTGGAAACTTTACTCTTTTAAACTTAAAAAAATATATTTTCATAACACCTTTGAGGCATTCAAGACTCCAAACTTTTCTTTATAAAAAGAGAATTCAATTCAATTCCAAATAAACCAGTTAAACTCAGGCCTGAGTAGAAACCTATTTCTATAAACTTGATAACTTAAAAAAAAAAATAACATTCCTCTTATTAACCCAAGAACTGTATTGTCCGTTGCAGCAAGCATAAGCCACACCTGACTAGTGAGCCCTTGAAACATGGCTAGTTCAAACAGAGATCAACTCTATAAAATGCCTACCAAGTTTCAAAGACAATATGAAAAAAGCCATGTATCTTATTACTAATTTTATATTTGATTACAGATTAAAATAATGTCTTAGGTTATACTGGGTTAATAAAACACATTAAACTTAATATTATTAACTTTCTACCTTTTTAAATGGCTATCAAAAAATTTTAAATTACACATGTGGTTCACGCTAGCAGCACAAATATTTTTACTGAAGGATACTTCTATAAAATATTTAAATTTATATGACAGCATAAAGGAAATAGAAGAAAGCCTGGACACCAGCATTAAATCTTTTTAGGTTCTAACTCAGTTTCCAGATATAATCACAAAAAGCTATATAAATGATAACCAGTTGAATTTTTGTGTATTAAAAAATGAAAAATAATGCAAAGTCACTTTCTCTTTTGTAAAAAATATATTTAAAATAAATTTGACAACATTGTATTAAATACACAGTAACTTGCAAACATATTCTTTGATTATATGAAGATTAGTGATAACCTGTGAAAAATCCCCAGGGATTAAGCTAAATTTACTATAATAATTCCTTAATCATCTATATACAATACATTGCCCCTGTCTAATTTAATTTCCATACTGAAGCCAGCAGTTTTTTTCAAACAGTAAGTCTGATCAGTATTCTGTCCCTACTCCATGGATTCAAATCTTTTCATCATTTCCCAGCACTCTTAGGAAATCGAGTCCTTAACAGCAAAGTCCTAGCTGCCTGGCCAATGCCCAGTTGCCCAGTTCCCCAGTTTTTTTGTTTGTTTGTTTGGTACTGGGGATGGAATCCAGGGCCTCACACATGCTACGCCAGTGCTACACTATTTCTGCACTATTTCTCAAGTCTTTTTATTTTTTTAGTTGCCCAGGCTGGCCTCAAACATGCTATTGACCTGCCTCAGCCTCTTCAGCCGCTGAGATTACAAACTGGCACCACCACTCCCAGCTTCATTTTGCAGAGTATATTTCTTGCAGTACTCTAGATTCATTGATCTTTCCATCTCCATCCTACCAGGATCTTTCCTGCCACCTGCCCAACTGCCTTTGATACCCCCTTTACCTGACTTTGATACCCTCTCCTCTTCATCTAATTAACTCTCCTACTCATTCTTCAGATCTCAGATCAAGTATCCCTTTATTTAATAAATCAAGCTTACTATGCAGCACTGTCCTGTGCACCTTATAAATCATTCAATATTTATATTAAACATTTAAATATTTACATTTAATCTTTATATTGAATATAATCACAACTCTAAAGCTTAGGTGCTATTATTATCCCCACATAAGCAATGAAGAAATAGAGACACAAAAAGTTTAACACTTGTACAAAGTCATGAAGCTAGTACAAAAGAGCCTCTCTGACCTACTTACTACCTGGATCTTCCCTGACCATGACAAATTTTCTCATAATTAGTTCTTAGAGCTCTCCTTTATAGCACTTAACTATGGTTGTATTATTTTACTTGTTAATGTGATTATCTTATTAATATGTCTGTTTTCCCTTCCCATGTGTCATGAGATCTGACACACTGTCAATTTTTGCTCAACATTGCATATTCAATGGTTAGCACAGTATCTGGAACATATTTGGTATTATTCTTATATAATGGAATAATCTTCAGTGGAGGAAGTAAAAAATGGAAAACCATAAGACTTTAGAACAAAATATAGAAGGCAGTCTTTGGAGGTAGGAATAGGCAAAGATTTATTTGACTTGCAACTAAAGCAAAGTCTACAGAGGGGAAAAATGATAAATTGAGTTAAATACTTTGTTCTGTGTTAGAGCTCTTTCAAGGATTGAAAGATGGTGTACAGAATAGGAGGAAATATTTGCAAACAACGTCTGACAAATAACAAATATCTGGATTTTTTTTATACTTCAGTCTGCAATGCATTGTATCCATTTTAATTTTTGTATAAGGTGTGAGACATAGTTCGAAGGTTTGGGGTTTTTGTTGTTGTTTGCATAGGATATCCAATTGCTTCATCACCATCTGTTGAAAAAGGTATCTCCCCTCCACTGAACTGTTTTCTGCCTTTGTCAAAAATTAGTTGGTTTGGGCTGAGAATGCAGCTCAGTGGCAGAGCACTTATTAGCAATGTGAGGCCCTGGGTTCAATCCCTAGGGTTGTGCCTTAGTAGTAGAATGCTTGCCTAGCACATGTGAGGCTGGGTTCGATCCTTAGTACCATATAAAAATAAACAAAATAAAGGTATTGTTGTCCATCTACAACTAAAAAAAAAAAAATTTTTTTAATTAGCTAAGGGCTGGAGTTGTGGCTCAGCAATAGAGTGCTTGCCTAGCACATACAAGGCCCTGGGTTCAGCACCACATAAAAATAAATAAACAAAAAAATAAAGGTATACAAATAATAAATATATATATATATATATATATATATATATATATATATATATATATATATATATATTAAATAGCTAAGCATATTTGTGTGAGTTTCAGAGTTCTCTACTATCTCACTGATCAATGTGTCTATAGGTATACCCATAACACACAGTCTTAATAACTGAAGCTATATAAATCCTAAAATTGGGTAATTGATTTCTAACTTTTTTGCCTTTCCATGTAAATTTTAGAATAGTCTTGTATATATCAAACAAAAAAATTTCATTGGCTCAATTAATATATATATATATATAGCATTAATGAACAAGTACATAATAAATAATACATCTCTGATGGTTGTACAATAACTCAAAA